GCACGGATACATGACCAAATTTACTTTCCCTTAGGAACCCTTTGTCATGAAATCTTAACACAACGTTAAAGCATGTATTGTCATATCAAAATCACTCATCAATCATAATCGTTATCGCATCACGAAGTATGAAGTGCTTAGCCTCCGTGCCTAAGTTACCTAAATACTTTCATTATCGAGTCAACTAGGATAGTCTAAGATGTTACAATCCTTGTACTGTGAGAAACAACATTTGACTAAGCTCATTCAACATGCACCTTCAAAAACTTTACTTTGATTCTATTTCGTGTTTTTCTTTTTCGGGAGAAAGTCGGTACCCTCCACAAAAATGACGGAAATTTTTTTCTTTTTTGCATTTTCGAGTCGCACAATTATAATACAATGCACACACGGGTCATGAGTCACACGTGTCATTTCACTTCGAGTTGAGTCAACCTCGAGTCAATCACAGCGAGTCAAGTTTATACCTTGAGTTGTGTCAAGTCAATGAGTCAAGCGACATTAAACCTTAGGTCAACCCTAAAATAATTAAAGAGATTAGCAAAGTCCTATAGCCAAAGATAAATACAGGTGCATCCCAGCGGCAACAAGAGCAGAATAGGGAAGACCCGACTCCAGCGCCAGACGACAATGTCTAGCGTCTGGCAACATATTTCAGCGTTTGGCGACAGAGCTAAATCGCGGCGCCAGAGGCATTGCAGCGACGACAGAACACTCAACCACTCAGAGCAGTTATTTCAACCTCTTTAAGCAATTTCGGGTTCCTTGGTACGCCAGTTAGCCCCTATAAGTAATTTGACATGGTTAAGTAGTCGGCTTGATTACAATCGTAATAGGTGATCGACCTGACGAAAGATCGTCTTACTTAGCTTAAAGCGCCTAAAACATTGGCTCATCGCAAGACACCAATGTACTGGTTCATAAACAGCAGAGACACCGACATTCTGGTTCATAAACAGCAGAGGTACCGACATAATGGTTCACAAGCATTAAAAGCGCCGACATACTGGCATAACGGAAGCAAAGTTCGAGCGAGCTTCTAAAGATCGACAAGCGTAGGTGTTCGGTAATTTTCTTCGGAATGTTATCGCAAAAAATGAGGATAGCCTCAAGCGAGGGTATCTTCGGCAGCGTTCCCTAGCTTGCGGAGAGTTGTCACAAACAACTGGAGGTGATTCAAGCGAAGTTGTCTTCGATCGTGTTCCCTGGCTTACGGAAGATGGTCACAAAATGTTAGAAGGTGGCGTCAAGCGAAGCAATCTTCGATGGGGTTCTCTAGCTTGCAGAAGTCTATCATGGCGGAATTGGAGACAGTTACAAGCGTAGCAGTCTTTAGGTGGCATTCTCTAGCTTGCAGGAGGTCGTCAAAAATACAAAAATACAGAAATACAACAACAAATCGGTTACTTTTAGAGACGTGTGCTCGACGGTGCAAGATACGCGTTTATTAACTCTTTTATCTGTTTAACTAACGCTAGTTTTCAGGTATCGGCGTCACAAGAGTAATTTAGGATCGCAGAACGTTCTAAATCATTCTCCGTCCCTATCAATACTTTGACTTTTGTTTTCGAAACTGGCTTTTCTCCAAACTCATTCAAATTGGGGGCTTCTGTAGACACCCATTTGTGTCTTCCCAAAATCAAACCTGGTGATGAGTACCTTTTACGTTGAATCATAATCTAATGAAGTGAAAGTGTGGAAAGTCTAGTGTTGCGGATAGTTTTAATTTCTTTTCTTTTCACTCTGTTTTTTGAAAACCTATTTTAATAAAAAAATAGCCAATCCAGTTTAGTTTGGTCCATGACAAGGGTCCAATAATAGTGTAGTTGATTCGGGTTCGAAAAGAGCTTTCCAATGATATATTATAAGCCTAATTCCGATGAATAATGAGGAAGCTATGGCCAAATTACTAAACTAGGCCCGATTTGAACCTTATATGCGGCCCATTGATCTAGGGGAGGGCCTAATATGGATTTATCATTCCTAATGCAATTAGGAATGGTTTTAGTCTTCTAGATTCTTCTAGAAGGTTCTTTTCATTCCTAATTCAATTAGCATTGATAAATTAACTTTTGTTGACTTTTTAGAGTTTTAATCAGAATAAAAGAGTGTTTTTGAGGAAAATACGATTTTATCCTCCTGTACGGTTAAATTCTATCTGATTTTAGAAAACGCGTCAAAAACTTGATTAGCGCCTAACACCAGCATTAGCGTCTGGCGCTAGCATTAGCGTCTGACGCTAACTCCGTTTTTTCAAGTCAGAACTCTGGTTCGATTTTCTATCTTTTTGGCTGATTTTCTCTATAAATAGCCTCTTAAAAACTCCGTTTTGAAAGACTAATTCTCATCTACAATCATCAATTCCTTAGTTCTATAAATTCTCTCTCAAAGCTAAAGCTTTCTCTCTCTTTTTTCTAAACCAACTACCCTTTTTACAAAATCCCGCACTCACAAGATCTAGACACACCTAGCCAAGTTCGAAGTTGCCTTCTCCCTAGACGTGAAAGGTTTTAATTTCTGAGGGTTTGGTCCCAAATCTCTCTTTCAATTATTATTTAATTTAATTGTTATTTATCATTTTCCTTGAAGTTACTAACGTGTGTATTTTGTTAATAGAAAGAGGTACGAGGCATCCAAGTAAGTGCTTTAATTGTTTAGTTGATATTATGATGTAGAAATCATGCTTAGATTGTTATTATGATTCCTAGTATCATGTTAGGATGTTTTTCTTAATTTGATGTTTAGGGTGACAACAATAAATTCTTAGTATCATGTTTAGGGGAAAAGGTTATAATATCAAATATGCTTATTATGATTCCTGCGATGTTTCCTATATTCTTTCCTAATATTCATGTTAGTATCGTGCTAGGGCTATATATTTGATCTTTATTGTTTAGTGACATGCTAGGGTTTGTTATTAATCTTGTTAGTATCATGCCAAGGATCTCGCTATTAATATTATGCTTCAACATGATTATGCTTATAATTATTATTATAAATATGATTATTTTATGATGATTATTATTATTATGATTATTATTTTGATTTATTATGTTGCTTGATTATATTTATTATTATTGCTTGATCACACCTTTTATGCATGTTTAAAGGGAATTTGTACTTGTAATCACGCTTAATAAGATAATTAATAATCTTGTTTAGGGTTAATCTGATTATAACTCAAATGATCGCCAATAATAGTTTTATTTGTGCATTAATATTCAACAACATAGATTAAACAGGTTTAGGATAATCCTACTGATTGCATGTTAGTCAGAAAGAGCACAAGAATACGATCAGAATAAAGTAGAGGCCTATTATTAGGGCAGGTTCAATCTCTTTTAGGTTGGATTTGTACCTTCATCCCCGGACTACCAGTCATGGTTCTAGACCTATTGGAGTTGACGATCTCCTGGATCGTTAAGGGGTGTAACCTTCACCTTGTGAACGATTTACAAGTTCCTAAAACTTGTTGGCGACTCTTTTGCTCTAGCTTCCTTCCCTTTGGACGTCACCGTACTTTAGTGTATGATCACAGTGGGGTTTAAGCTAGGGGTAATGCTTGAAATATTCCCTACACCCAGTTATGTGAAAAAAAAACTCGTCTTTGCTTTGTGTTTTGTGAGTTATGTCTGACTCTTTATTGCTCCAGTCTATTTCAACTTTTAAGAATCTTTTCATCCTAAATTAACTCTTCAAATTCATTAATTCCATAATTATTCCCATTAATCTATAATTCCCATAACAATAGTAAATACTTGTATAATACTTTCCATTTTTCTAACTTCTTTTCTAATTTGTCAGTAAATATCATGTCTTTACTAAAAGAAAATAAATTAAGCTTGCAATTTAACAACCCTCTTCAATTCCTCTGTCAATCAGAATGGTTAATTGGTTATGAGGGGTATATTTTCTAATCTCTGAACTGAGTCCAATCGAAAAATTATTTCATGTTTTCCACAATTAAATTACTTTATGTCTCAAATTTCTACAAACACCCAATAATTAGATTACTCATTGTTGTGAATTTGGGGTTACTCGTTCAAAAATCAAAGTTCATCCAATTAAAAGAATTGGTTATGAGGTATGCATAAAGCATAATTTAATTTCAGTTTTTTTTTTGAGATTTGGTATGAGGTGATGTTGCATTTTTAAAAGGTTGAAAGTATGACATTGTATTTTTATTTGGAATTTTAAGAATTGCTAATTGGATTATCAAGTTGTTGTTGTTTCGATCATATTCTCATTGCGAATGTTTGTTGATTTTTGTGTTTTTGGTGCATTATATGTTTTTTTTTATAGACAATTTATTTAATTGCCGCAGTGTTAAAATATCTTTTTAGTTTTTTTTTAAACAAACATAGCCAATATCATTAAGCGGAAGAATACAAATTAGCAAGAATTACAATGGCTTGTGGAAAATTATCAAGCCTTACATAGTCAACATTACCATTTATCTCACCCCTAGCTACTAAGTGAGCAACGATATTACAATTTCGCTTAGCATGAGAGAAAAACAAGTATTAAATCTAGCTCTGTCTAATCAAAAATTATCAAACATAACATTAATGGGAGAAAGACTAGCATCATTTGAGGAGATTGCCTTGATCACGTTGATAGCATCCGATTCAACCTAAATATTACTGTGACCAAATCGTTGTGCAAGAGAGAGTGCATACCGTACTGCTTGCCCTTCAAGAACTGCAGGGGAGAAGATCTCCAATTTCTTTGTCGCTGTTAATATAAGATGGCCATCATCATCTATGAATACTACTCTAAGCCTAGCCACTACTAGAAATAGGCTAAATAGCGACGGATCGGTTCCGACGGACCTATTTTTCCGTCGCAACATTCAAAAATTCCGACGGAATTTTTTCCGTCACAAGTTTTCAACGGATTTCAATTGTTTCGACGGGAAAAGGAATTACGACGGAAAATATTCCGTCGGTAAAACTTGTTTTTTTTTTTTAAAATTACCCAACTTCATTTACCCTAACAAAAAAGGGGGAAATAGTCGTTGCAACTCAGGACCGCTGCACAGAAGAAAGAGAAGGAGAGAGAAAGAGAGAGGGAAAGAGGAAAAGGGGACCACTCATCCGCCCGCCTCCGGTCACGCGTTCACCGCCGTCCGTCACGCATCCGTTGCCGACGAAGACCCACACAACGCCGACTATGTAAGAGAGAAAGAGGACTAGAAGGAGAAAGAAAAAGAGGACGAGAAGGAGAAAGAGAAATACAACGGCGGTTTCCCGTCGAGCCTCCGTTGACGGTGCTTGTTGCCGGCGCCGCGTCTAGGTAAGTTTACAACTTTTTTTTTTGGTTTTCGTTTTTGTTTTGTTTTTTTAATTACTTTCAGATCTGACTTTTAGACCACCACAACCGCAGCCTCCGGCCTCCGCCTCCTCCCTTCCCTCGCTGTGGCTGCTTGTTGTTGTCGGCGCTGCGTCTAGGTCAGTTTCCCCCACTTTTAATATTTTTTTTTGTTTAATAATAAACCCTTATTTATTTAATTTATTTTTTAAATATTTTGTAGGATTTGTACAATTAGATGGTTTAATTGTCAAAAAGAAGTGCAGATCTAAAGGTTAGTCACATTACAAACCCTAATATAACGTATGTATGTTAGTTTGGTTTGGTTTTGTTTAACATAACTTTGTTTCGTTAAGTTTATTCTAATATAATGTGTTTTATTTTAGTTTAGTTACTTTTTTTTTTTTGTAAGTATGTTAGTTTAGCTTAGTTTAGTTTACTTTTTTGTAAGTATGTTAGTTTAGTTTAGTTTATTCTAATATAATGTGGTTTAATTTAGTTTAGTTTTACTAAAGTATATTAGATTAACTTAATATTATGAAACTTTAGTTTAGTTTATTTTAATATAATGTGGTTTAATTTAGTTTAGTTTTACTAAAGTATATTAGATTAGTTTAACATTATGAAACTTTAGGTACGTTTTGTTTGTTTTGTTTTATATGATGTATGTTAGATTACTTTAGTTCATTATAATATAGTTTTGTTTTGTTTAGTTTAATATAATGTTTCTTACTTAAGTTTAATTTTTTATAATGCATGTTACTATATTTAATATTATGATATGTTAGTTTGGTTTGGTTTTGTTTGGTTTGATTTGTTTATATTAATGTTATGGTTTTATGATATGTTTGTTTATGTTAAGTTTAATTATGATATATTTGTATAATTTTTTGTATGTTAGTTTAGTTTTAATATCTTTAAATAAATCATTTGCATAATCACATGTCTAGATACCCGTTCAAGGCATACACATTAGGAGTATGTCTTGAATAGTCCCCGGTTGGGACTGTCCTTGTACGTTTATTCTCACTTAGGTTGTGAATGTATTCCTTTATTTTAATTCTAAGGAAGATCCTTGCTTGTCATTTCTCTACAATGTTCTCTAGGTACATATATAGGTGTTTCTAATAGCCTATATTGTGTACTTGGGGAAATGTAGGGAGATGCTGCCGGATTTTCCATAGAATTGAAATTCTGGCATACATTCACTAGTGAGATTGAACGTACAAGGATGGGTTAGGTTGGAGTGATAAGGACCCTTGGAAATCATTTCTCTTATCATTTGCATTTCCATAACAGTTTGATCTATAATGAATATATATTGTGCTTTATGACTAATGTGATTAATGGCATATGTGTTAGTTGTGTAGAACTTGTAATCATGAAACGAAAAGAACGTAGCTGGATGTACGAAAGGAAGGTTGGGAATTATATTAATCCTGAGTTCTTGAAGGGGGTAGATGAATTCCTTAAATATGTGGAAGATCATCCCGAGAGTAGCAACCCGAATGAAGTTAGGTGTCCATGTTTTAAATGCAAAAACAAAAGTCTTTGGGTCCAGATACGGTCAAACTTCATTTGTATCGCAGCGGTTTTTAACCTAATTACTATGAGTGGATGTGTCATGGGGAAGGGTTTCCAGGAACTCGTAGAAGGCAGTCAAATGAATATCGTGAAATGGTTTTGGATGCCTTTGGTCAGTCTCAAGATCAAGGCCATTCCGAAGAGCCACATGTTTCATACTTTCATTAGAGGAGGAGCCTAATGCACAAGCCAAGCCATTTTTTGATTTGTTAAGGGCTTCTGAACAGCCGTTATACGAAGGGAGTTCATTGTCTGTGTTAGAGATGGCTTCTAGAATCACTAGCCTAAAGTGTGAGTATAATTTGCCGCATAGATGTGTTGATGGATTTGCTTCTTTGGTTAATGAAGAGATTCCTAACAACAACCACATGGCCGAGACATTCAATGAGGTCAAGAAAATTGTTAAGGGGTTAGAGCTGCCCAATGAAAAGATTCATGCATACCCGAAAGGATGTATGTTGTTTTGGAAAGATGATGCTCAATTATCTACATGTAGGGCGTGTGGCAGTGACCGATACAAGAAGACTTCTAAAGGTAGCTTAGTTCCTTTGAATGTTCTTTTTGATTTCCCTATCACACCTAGGTTGCAAATGCTTTTTGCAACTAAAAACATTTATGAGGAAATGACATGGCATGCTAAAAATCCTCGAGTTCAAGGCACAATGGCACACCCTAGCTATAGTGAAGCGTGGAAACACCTAGATAGTTGCTTTCCTGAGTTTGCCTCTGAACCTCATAATGTTCGACTTGGCCTATGTACGGATGGATTTGCTCCACATGGTCAGTTTGGGGGACAGTATTCATGTTGTCCTGTCATTTTGACCCCTTATAACTTGCCTCTGTCAATGTGTATGAAAAGACAGTTCATGTTTCTTTCGTTACTCGTTCCTGGTCCTAAAAACCCTAAGGGCAACTTGGATGTTTACATGCAACCGCTCATACACGAGTTGAAACAGTTGTGGGAAGTTGGGGCAAATACTTACGATATTTCGAGAAAACAAAATTTCAATTTTCGAGCAGCCATCCTATGGACCGTTAGTGACTTCCCGGCTTATGGTATGTTATTTGGTTGGACCACAACCGGTAAGAAGGCTTGTCCATATTGCATGGAGAAAAGCAAAGCATTTTGGCTCAAAAATGGTGGTAAGGTTTCTTGGTTTGATTGCCATCGTCAATTCCTTCCGACAAATCATCCTTTTCGAAATAGTAAAAATGCATTTTGTAAAAACAAAGTTGAAAAAGGTTCACCACCTCACATCATTTCAGGAGAGGAACTTTGGGAATGTGTGAAAAACCTCCCGAAAGCAACAGATGGCCCCGAGGCACTGAAACGTCTCAAGAATGCAAAAAAAAGGGTGGTTCAAGCAAAGCACTCTATGGGACCTTCCATATTGGAAACATCTGCTTGTTCGTCACAACTTAGATGTCATGCACGTTGAAAAAAACTTTTTTGATCAGTTGATTCACATTATAATGGACGTGAAAAAGCTATCTCGTGACACGCCATCAGCTCGGAATGACATTGCTAAATACTGTAAACGGCCCCAGCTACATCTTCAAGAGGATGATAGAGGAAAAGAATTCATGCCAAAGGCTCCATTTGCTCTTGACAAGGCTCAGAGAAAGGTTTTGTGTGAGTGGGTCAAACAGTTGCGGTTTCCTGATGGTTACGCTTCCAATTTGAGTCGATGCCTTGATTTGCAATCAGGTAAGTTACATGGAATGAAAAGTCATGATTATCACGTGTTCATGGAGAGGTTGTTGCCCACTGCTTTGAGATAATTGCTCCCTACCCATATATGGAATGCAGTTACAAAGATAAGCCAATTCTTTCGCGATTTATGTTGCTACACAATTACAGTTAGCGACATGGAGCGATTGGAAAAAAACATAGCTGAGATCCTGTGCAAGCTTGAGAAGGTTTTCCCCCCATCTTTCTTCAAATCCATGGAGCATTTACCAATTCATTTTCCATATGAGTGCAATTTATGTGGACCTTTTCAATATCGGTGGATGTATCCTTTCAAAAGGTAAATCAAAGGTCCTTTCTCAACTCTTACTTTCATCTCTTTCATTGCTTTTCGTTACTTATACTTCTACGGCTACATAAACATAATTACAGGTTCCTTAATCACCTGAAATGAAAAATTGGTAATAAGGCTCGTGTTGAAGGTTCCATATGCAACGCTTATCTCACTGAAGAGATATCAAACTTCTGCTCCAATTACTTTCAGCCCTCAGTTGACACAAAAACACGAGATCTAGGTCGAAATGTGAATGCTGATGTGGAATCCCCGGCTGACAACGATGAAATCCCAGAGCTGTTCACGGTGGATAAGGGTCGTGTGTCAAATTTGGGTAAAACTCGGTATTTAGATGACAAGGAACTCGAACGTGCTCATTTGTTCGTTTTAAGAAATACCGGCATTCTTGGTGAATACGAAAGGTATATATGTTTAGGATAAACTTTTGAAAATCCCATAAATTTAATATAATTGCTGCAATGATTAAACATGTGTCATTAATCTATTAGGCAGTTTGAGGACTACATTCTTAGTACTCTAACTTATTTACGTCGAGAAGATGTCATGGAAAAATGCGAAACTGAATTCTCTGATTGGTTTCATCACAAGGTGATAATACTTTTCGAACATTGCATATCGATTAATTTGTGATAATATAATATAATATATTTCATTTCAATTAGTGTGACATTTGTATTCGTAACGGTTATAGGTGAGAGAACAAAAACCAAGTTCCAATGTGTTGCGAGCATTGTCTATGAGGCCTTTCAAGCGTGTTCGAACTTGGAATCAGATATTTGTCGCTGGCTTTAATTTCCACACACAGTCTTATGGCAAACACAAATCTACGATTAATTACGGGGTGTGTGTCTCAAGTGAGGACGGTGGAGAGTAATTTGGCATTTTAAACGAAATAATTGAACTTGTCTACACCGGTCCCGAAAAAGAGTACAAGACTATTTTGTTTAGTTGTAGTTGGATGGATTGTGGTAAAGGAATGAACATTCATGAACAATACAAGCTTGTCGAAGTAAATCATACTAAGAAGTATCCCAAGTATGATCCATTTGTCTTATCTTACCAAGTGTCTCAAGTGTATTATGCATCTTACCCTAGCCTTAAACGTGATCAGGTTCAATGGTGGGCTGTATTTAGAACTCAAGCAAGGTCGGTGATTGATGCTCTGGTGGATTTAGAGTTTTTGCAGGGTCCTTCACCACAAGTACATGCAACGCTTTGTCCACCAAATGACATTCCAGACTATGAACTTGATAGTGATGATGATGATGACGATGGCTTTATTATCTCAAGCGATGAAGAAGAAGAAGAAAGCATTGGCTCCAGTGTTAGTGACGAAGAAGAGGACATCGATGTATTTTTAGATGACACTAGTGATAGTAATAATGATAGTGATAATGATAGTGGTAGTAGTGATAAGAGTAATGAAGAGGAGAATATGTAGTTACACCTTAACTATTGTCTTCGAATGTTTAGTTTTTAATGACTACTCGGACTTGTAATATTGCATTACATTTTTTGTCTCATTTTATTATTTTAATGTCTTATGGATCTAATTTATGAATTTACAATGTGCGATCATGGTACTAACAACTTTTTCAGGTGGTCATCATGGGAGGAGGAAATAAAGGAGAAACGTCCAAGAGGAGAAAGACTAAGGGGAAATCTCAGGTTGTACGTGTTGACGAGGATGGAGTCAATGGAGGAAGAGGAGGCACATGATTTGGGGGCCTCTTAAGAAATCTTCAATCGGAGACAGATTCCTATGTACAAGGGCAATAGGAGCAACAGGAACAGGAGCTACAGGACTCGCATCCTAATGACTTGCTAGAGTTGGACCCTTCCACACTTTGGTGCGTATGTATTTGTATAATGAAATATCCTTAAATTCGTATTTACTTTGATAAAGTGAATTTGTATTACTTTAACCATGTTTTGTTCACTTTTTGTTGATTATCTACTTACATGAATGTCTATCCTTTATTATAGGTTTGATGATATCCCGGTGAAGAATGTGCTCTCCGACTCGCTAACCGGCTACTATGTTGAGCCTTGGAGGAATTATGGAGAGGTTGATGAAGATTCGAGAGAGCACTTTTGGAACTTGTTCAACGTATGATAACTTTAACCTAACATAATACATGTTTTATAAAGTATATTGATGGAGTTGAATTTTGTAATAAAGACATTTTCTTGATTTGCAGAAAAAATTCAAGTGGGCACCTGAGTTAAACAACCAAGTGAAGGACACTTTCGAAGAAAAGTTTGCAAATCGCCTACGTGACACGTTCTACAACATCACACACAGGCTTAATGTTCGCAGACCAAGATGGCTTAATAAGGATGTCCATGAAGGCATGATGCGAATTGTTGCCACCGATCCAGATTATAAGAAGCGGTCGGAACAAAACAAGAAGAACCGAAGAGGCGGATCCATGGAAAATGTCGTTGAACCGACCCAATTTCAAGGTTCAATGTCATCTGTACAACATGCTAAAAGGATGGAAAGGTTCCTACAATATGTCTAGTAGCAATTAAGTCATTTGTCTATTAATGAATTTTGGTGGGCTAACATGTTTTCATTGATTTTCTGCATATATATATAAAGGCTGCAAAAAACCAAGGCCATTTACCAAATGCCCATGATCTTTTCTTGAAGACACACTTCAAGGAAGTTCCTGGAAAAGGCCAAGTGGCTGCCAACAACAAAGCAAAAAGGATTGCAGTAAACACTTATTATATGAGTTGATATATGGCAAATTAGCAAAGTAGAACTCATTATATGCTTATTTGGATGATTTTGGATAAGTTAGGGTTGATATTTGACATATGTGCTTATTTCTCTTAATTTCTATCCTTAGGCACTTAAAAGCAATTGATATTGGAATGTTAGAAGAAAGAACGAGTCCATTTACTTGAAAACATAGAAAATAGGCATGGTTTTAGCAATATAGCCCAAATTTGGATGATTTTGGATGAGTTAAGGTCGAAAATTGACATATGTGCTTATTTCTCTTAATTTCTATCCTTAGGCACTAAAAAGAAATTAATATTGGAATGTTAGAAGAAAGCACGAGTCCATTTTCTTGAAAACATAGAAAATAGGCATGGTTTTAGCCATATAGGCCAAATTTGGATGAGTTTGGGTCGAAAATTGACATATGTGCTTATTTCTCTTAATTTCTATCCTTAGGCACCTAAAATAAATGGATATTGGAATGTTATAAGAAAGAAACCGTACATTTGCTTGAAAACATAGAAAATAGGCATGGTTTTAGCCATATAGCCCAAATTTGGATGATTTTGGATGAGTTAGGGTCGAAAATTGAAATATGTGTTTATTTCTATTAATTTATATCCTTAGGAACTTAAAAGAAATTTATATTGGAATTTTAGAAGAAAGAACGAGTCCATTTGCTTGAAAACATAGAAAATAGGCATGGTTTTAGCCATATAGGCCAAATTTGGATGATTTTGGATGTGTTAGGGTCGAAAATTGACATATGTGCTTATTTCTCTTAATTTCTATCCTTAGGCATCTAAAAGCAATTTATATTGGAATTTTAGAAGAAAGAAACCTTACATTTGCTTGAAAACTTAGAAAATAGGCATGGTTTTAGCCATATAGCCCAAATTTGGATGATTTTGGATGAGTTAGGGTCGAAAATTGACATAAGTGCTTATTTCTCTTAATTTCTATCCTTAGGCACCTAAAAGAAATTGATATTGGAATTTTAGAAGAAAGAAACCTTACATTTGCTTGAAAACTTTTAAAATAAGCATGGTTTTAGCCATATAGGCCAAATTTGGATGATTTTGGATGAGTTAGGGTCGAAAATTCACATATGTGCTTATTTCTCTTAATTTCTATCCCTAGGCATCTAAAAGCAATTTATATTGGAATTTTAGAAGAAAGAAACCTTACATTTGCTTGAAAACTTAGAAAATAGGCATGGTTTTAGCCATATAGCCCAAATTTGGATAATTTTGGATGAGTTAGGGTCGAAAATTGACATATGTGCTTATTTCTCTTAATTTCTATCCTTAGGAACTTAAAAGCAATTGATATTGGAATGTTAGAAGAAAGAAACCTTACATTTGCTTGAAAACATAGAAAATAGGCATGGTTTTAGCCATATAGCCCAAATTTGGATGATTTTGGATGAGTTAGGGTCGAAAATTGAAATATGTGCTTATTTCTATTAATTTATATCCTCAGGCTCTTAAAAGAAATTGATATTGGAATGTTAGAAGAAAGAACGAGTCCATTTGCTTGAAAACATAGAAAATAGGCATGGTTTTAGCCATATAGGCCAAATTTGGATGATTTTGGATGAGTTAGGGTCGAAAATTGACATATGTGCTTATTTCTCTTAATTTATATCCTTAGGCATCTAAAAGAAATATATATTGGAATGTTAGAAGAAAGAAACCTTACATTTGCTTGAAAACTTAGAAAATAGGCATGGTTTTAGCCATATAGCCCAAATTTGGATGATTTTGGATGAGTTAGGGTCGAAAATTGACATATGTGCTTATTTCTCTTAATTTCTATCCTTAGGAACCTAAAAGAAATTGATACTGGAATGTTAGAAGAAATAAACCTTACATTTGCTTGGAAACTTAGAAAATAGGCATGGTTTTAGCCATATATCCCAAATTTGGATGATTTTGGATGAGTTAAGGTCGATATTTGACATATGTGCTTATTTCTCTTAATTTCTATCCTTAGGCACCTAAAAGCAATTGATATTGGAATGTTAGAAGAAAGAAACCTAACATTTTCTTGAAACATAGAAAATAGGCATGGTTTTAGCCATATAGCCCAAATTTGGATGATTTTGGATGAGTTAAGGTCGAAAATTGACATATGTGCTTATTTCTCTTAATTTCTATCCTTAGGAACTTAAAAGCAATTGATATTGGAATGTTAGAAGAAAGAAACCTTACATTTGCTTGAAAACATAGGAAATAGGCATGGTCTTAGCCATATAGCCCAAATTTGGATGATTTTGGATGAGTTAGGGTCGAAAATTGAAATATGTGCTTATTTCTATTAATTTATATCCTTAGGCACTTAAAAGAAATTGATATTGGAATGTTAGAAGAAAGAACAAGTCCATTTGCTTGAAAACATAGAAAATAGGCATGGTTTTAGCCATATAGGCCAAATTTGGATGATTTTGGATGAGTTAGGGTCGAAAATTGACATATGTGCTTATTTCTCTTAATTTCTATCCTTAGGCATGTAAAAGAAATTTATATTGGAATGTTAGAAGAAAGAAACCTTACATTTGCTTGAAAACTTAGAAAATAGGCATGGTTTTAGCCATATAGCCCAAATTTGGATGATTTTGGATGAGTTAGGGTCGAAAATTGACATATGTGCTTATTTATCTTAATTTCTATCCTTAGGAACCTAAAAGAAATTGATATTGGAATGTTAGAAGAAAGAAACCTTACATTTGCTTGGAAACTTAGAAAATAGGCATGGTTTTAGCCATATAACCCAAATTTGGATGATTTTGGATGAGTTAAGGTCGATATTTGACATATGTGCTTATTTCTCTTAATTTCTATCCTTAGGCACCTAAAATCAATTAATATTGGAATGTTAGAAGAAAGAAACCTTACATTTTCTTGAAAACATAGAAAATAGGCATGGTTTTAGCCATATAGCCCAAATTTGGATGATTTTGGATGAGTTAAGGTCGAAAATTGACATATGTACTTATTTCTCTTAATTTATATCCTTAGGCACTTAAAAGAAATTAATATTGGAATGTAAGAAGAAAGCACGAGTCCATTTTCTTGAAAACATAGAAAATAGGCATGGTTTTAGCCATATAGGCCAAATTTGGATGAGTTTGGGTCGAAAATTGACATATGTGCTTATTTCTCTTAATTTCTATCCTTAGGCACCTAAAAGAAATGGATATTGGAATGTTAGAAGAAAGAAACCGTACATTTGCTTGAAAACATAGAAAATAGGCATGGTTTTAGCCATATAGCTCAAATTTGGATGATTTTGGATGAGTTAGGGTCGAAAATTGAAATATGTGCTTATTTATATTTATTTATATCCTTAGGCTCTTAAAAGAAATTGATATTGGAATGTTAGAAGAAAGAACGAGTCCATTTGCTTGAAAACTTAGAAAATAGGCATGGTTTTAGCCATATAGCCCAAATTTGGATGATTTTGGATGAGTTAGGGTCGAAAATTGAAATATGTGCTTATTTCTATTAATTTATATCCTTAGGCTCTTAAAAGAAATTGATATTGGAATGTTAGAAGAAAGAACGAGTCCATTTGCTTGAAAACTTAGAAAATCGGCATGGTTTTAGCCATATAGCCCAAATTTGGATGATTTTGGATGAGTTAGGGTCGAAAATTGAAATATGTGCTTATTTCTATTAATTTATATCCTTAGGCACTTAAAAGAAATTGATATTGGAATGTTAGAAGAAAGAACGAGTCCATTTGCTTGAAAACGTAGAAAATAGGCATGGTTTTAGCCATATAGGCCAAATTTGGATGATTTTGGATGAGTTAGGGTCGAAAAATGACATATGTGCTTATTTCTCTTAATTTCTATCCTTAGGCATCTAAAAGAAATTTATATTGGAATGTTAGAAGAAAGAAACCTTACATTTGCTTGAAAACTTAGAAAATAGGCATGGTTTTAGCCATATAGGCCAAATTTGGATGATTTTTGATGAGTTAGGGTCGAAAATTGACATATGTGCTTATTTTTCTTAATTTCTATCCTTAGGAACCTAAAAGAAATTGATATTGGAATTTTAGAAGAAAGAAACCTTACATTTGCTTGAAAACTTAGAAAATAAGCATGGTTTTAGCCATATAGGCCAAATTTGGATGATTTTGGATGAGTTAGGGTCGAAAATTCACATATGTGCTTATTTCTCTTAATTTCTATCCTTAGGCATCTAAAATCAATTTATATTGGAATGTTAGAAGAAAGAAACCTTACATTTGCTTGAAAACTTAGAAAATAGGCATGGTTTTAGCCATATAACCCAAATTTGGATGATTTTGGATGAGTTAAGGTCGATATTTGACATATGTGCTTATTTCTCTTAATTTTTATCCTTAGGCACCTAAAAGCAATTGATATTGGAATGTTAGAAGAAAGAAACCGTACATTTGCTTGAAAACATAGAAAATAGGCATGGTTTTAGCCATATAGCTCAAATTTGGATGATTTTGGATGAGTTAGGGTCGAAAATTGAAATATGTGCTTATTTCTATTAATTTATATCCTCAGGCACTTAAAAGAAATT